TCTAGCATTAGCATGTGTGCTTGGTAATTTCTAGTTAGTAGGCATTGGTCTTCTGCATAAAGCTTTTAACTTTTAACCTTGAATTACGTAGGTACTGATGTGTACGGGGTGTGTGTAGATCAGCTTGACCGTGAAGAGGTTTATCCTGCCATCGTTTGTCTATCTGGTTAATTGTATTTGCCTTTGCTTCATTTTTAAGTTGTCTACAATAGGTTTATTATGTTTTACTTGCATTTGTTCACCCATTTGAAACTCCATTGTGAACATGTTGACTTTTTATTACTGAATAAATTTTCTTATTTCTTTCATGTTCGTTGACGCAAATCACCATCCAGATGTGTAGTTTCCAGATGTCTTTGAAGGTCGATTGTTGTGGTTTTATAAGACAATTCTAGTTGAACTAATCCTCTGCCTCTTTCGGATCAGGACGCATAGAGACGATCAACACCAGCGTTGGGATGAGGCATGCGTTGGCAAATAAGCAGTTTTCTCGTTATTATTATTATTATTATGATTATTATTTTCTTTGATTTCTGTTATATACACATTTCTACCTGGGTCCACACAGAGATACAATGTCAGAAATGGCTTTATATTTTCCAATGATCATATTTAAAAACAAAAAAACAAAAACAAAAAGAAAAACATAAGATCAAACAGATTTTACATAGATAAAGCTCATTTTAATATGTAACCGGTACTTGTGCGTATACTGTTTGTATTTCTTTAAGGCATGGCCTACCACTTACCACTTCAATGAGTCTATCGGATATTTTCCCAATTAATTTGAGGGCTCCAAATACAACTGGAATTATTCATATGCCTCATTTTTGAGATTTCCACTTCAAGATGCTTGTATTTTAATTGTCTGTTAAAGGTTTTCAAATGTATATTACAATTTGCAGGGAGTACCATATCAATAAGGAATCACACTCTGTTTTTTTGGTCTTTGATCACGATATCCGGGCGATTAACTTTGATGGTTCTGTCTGTGTGTCTTGTAAAGTCCCATAAAATTGTTACATGTCCTATCTCCGTAACCGGGTGTAGATGATGCTCATAACAGTTTTTCTTAGTTACCTTCTCGTTAAAATTGCATATTTTCCAGTGCAGATATTGGCCCACACTGTCATGTCGAATCTTATATTGAGTGGGTGTAAACACTGTGCAACCTGATAAAAGATGGTCAAATGTTTTTCGATATTTATCATAGAATCTGTATTCAGGGTTAACACAGTTTCCTTCTTCTGCTTCTTCTTCTTCTTCTTCTTCTTATTATTATTATTATTATTATTAATAATAATATTATTTCCTTCAACCTGTGTCGTATTCACTCTGTGTCCAATCAAGAGGCCTAAAGTCTACGATGACTTCATGACAGTTTCCACTGATCATTTTTTATAAAAAAAAAGGCCACACACATTCTACAGAGATACAGTTCTTCGTAATATGTGAGTTGTACTCATGAGTACAATTCTTGTAATTCTTTAAGTGATTGGCACTTAAGAATCCCTTCAATTTATCTATCGGAACATTTTCCAATCAATACGTGTTCCCCAACTACAACTGGAATTATTGATGTCCTCATGTGCCATATTTTTTTTAAATATTTCGACTTCAAGATCCTTGTATTTTGATAGTTTTTAAAGGTCTTCAAAAATAGATTATAATCTGAAGGGATTGACATGTAAATAAAAGCACGTTCACTTTTTGTGTTCTTTGATCTCGATGTCTGAGCGAAGAGATTTGATTTTTTTATGTCTGTGTGTATTGTAAAGTTTTTTAAAATTGTGACAGGTCCTATCTCTATAACTGCGTGTTGGTCATGTTCATACCAGTGTCTTTCAGTTTCCTTTCCGTAAAAATAGCATATCTTTCAGTGCACATATTGGCCCACTCTGTCATGCAGAATTTTATATTTTAGTGGGTGCAAACATTGTGCAACCTGATACGAGATGGTCAATTGCTTTGGAGATTTATTATAAAATCTGTATTCAGGGTTAACACAATTTCCTTCTCCTTCTTCTTATTCTTCTTCTTATTATTATTATTATTATTATTATTATTATTATTATTTTTATTATTATTATTATTATTGCTGCCTTCCTTCTCAAACGAATACAATTTTTCATTGCTATTGACAAGAATGAAAAATAACACACGCACGCACATACACAAACTCTCGACTGTGCAAAAAAGATAATCTTTGATGGAATGAACTGCTATTAATTAGTTCATTAAGATTAATTAGAGACGTTAATTGCAGGTCAGTACTTCTTAATTAAAGAGGACACGTTAATGTAAGAGTAGAGCCGGTGCAGACAGAGATTGAAAAGTCAGTCTAATATATTGAAGGTCATCAACACAGCACCGTCTCAGTGGACTGTATTTTGTAGACAAGCCATTTTTCTTTTCCTGTGAATTATGTGCATTTTTCTTCAGTTTCCTTTCGTTTTTTTTTATTTTGCACAAAGACTGACCGCAAGCAGATGTGGTGTACTGCTGTGACAAGTTTGCTAATCAGATAGGAAAATAATGCTTGCGAATCTCTCCAGGTAGTGGCCTCTAATGCATGGAAAGTCATATTTATCGGCTGGACGAAACAGACAAAAAAATGAAAAGAGAACATACATCGTCATAATCATCGTCATCAATCCCATGGTCGGATGTGGTTTTAGGGTCGTTTTATAGCTGAACACCCGACGAAATCCCTAAGGATTGAAAAGCATTTGTTCATGAATAAGTTGTTTTGGAATTATGCATGCGGAGCCCATCTCTTTCAATGTCACACCAGATTCGATTCATCCACAACTAAGGATCCATATATATTATCAAGATTTTTATATATATATATATATATATATATATATATATATATATATATATATAGATAGATAGATAGATAGATAGATAGATAGATACCGAAGTATATAATTGGTGTATACGGAATGAATTCCAATAACCAACAATTACTATTCTTAAAAGAGTGCTCAATACAATTTCCGTTGTCTCTCTTTACCTCTATTCGACCTGTGAGAAAGGCTCTCCTTTATCATTACGCATCCCAGAAACTTCAGCTGCCTCTTCCTCATGTGAATTATAAGCCTACTCCTTGCTTGCATCCTCTCCAAGTCTTCAACATTGCTCACACGCCCGGTATGTGTTATCCTCAGCAGAACCATATTTCCGTCGCCTCGAGTTTCTTCTTCATCTTCGAGGAGACCGTCCAACATTCGCTGCCATAAAAAAGGTCAGATGTCACGTAACAGCTCAGTACTCTTTTCTTCTTTATCAAAATATCCTCCTGTCTCGCAATACTTTGCTCAACTATTGGAATGCGTCCTTGGCCATCCCACTACGTCTACGGATCTCAGTGTCGCACTTACTGTCCTCTGTCAAAACACTTCCCAGATATTTAAAATTTCCGCACCTGCTTGATTTTAGTGTCCTTGTTGTATAGTGGTTTCACAGTGGAGGCTTGTATTTGTACTAAGTCGGTCCTAAAATAGGTTCGACGTACAAAACGTTAGGAATTTGATATAATAGATAATGACGCAGAGAAATCTAGTTGTGGTCGCTGATACTTTAGTATCCGACTAACGGTCGTCCGACATCGACTGACTGACCAACTCACTGAGTGACCTAGCGACAGCTCGTTACTATTACTACTCCTACTTATTATAGGTGGGAGATTCTATTAACTGAAGAATAGGTGTGTTTCTACTATAGTTCCCGAACTGCAAATCGCATTTCGGCCTCATCCTTTTATTGATGACCACGCAGTCTGTCTTTTTGCTTCGTCACTTCTTTCGCCCTACTTAGCTTTTCGGTGTCTGGTATCATTACTGTGTCATCTACGTGTCATTTTGGAGCATTTCGGGAGTTATCTGCTTACTGAATGTGTTCTTTAAGCTCAGCTAAATTATTGGACTTTCGGTGATAAACTTTTTTTTTTGTATGGAAGCCCATGCAAATAAATCCAGCCGAGTTGGGGCATCCGCAAAAAGTGTTCTTGTGTATTCACTATTAATAGTTTTATGAAAGGGAAGGAAAATAAAATTACAAAAAAGGTTATTAAAATAAAATAAAAAATTATCATATTAAACATGATGAGCAAGAAATAAAGCTGAATTAAGAAAAATGTCGGATGTCACTGAAATAGATCGTTAATTCTGGGTCACCCCATAAATACAATTCTCTACATAAAACGTGTGAAACAACGTGCGATAAGCTGCACTTAACCAGGGGAGGTAACTTAGTTTCGGAAGCTAAATCGCTACTGCCACCCCAGGCGCCACCATTAGTTTTTGCCAACGGACAAGGCATTGTTTATGTAAATATATATATATTGTTGTAACCAAGGGAAAGTTACTGAATAGAATAATCAAACGAAGGTTGGTAATGAAAGATAATACTTAGGATACGAACAACACATATATAATCCGCCAGCGTCTCGAAGATAAAGTAGCCAACTGATACAAGTGAGTCAAGGGAATTCCACAATGAATCTCCAACTGCAGGATATCTACCAACCGCCCCACGCGTTCAGATGTGGCACAAGGCTGACTTTCATGTGGGTATCCGAGCCCGTAGGCTCGGCCAAAAATTACCCGTAGACCCCTAAAAAACGAGAACGGGTGGTTGTTTTCCGAAACCAGAGTCTGTCCTTCAACATAGCTTCGTCTGTGGAACCTCTCTGCCCGTAAACGGAAAGTTTGACCAGCACAGCTGGAGGCAAATCTCCAACTGCAGACCAATATACAGTATTTACTAATCTATTTGTGTGAATGGGGACATACCCATTGTCGTCCGTAGGTATGCTACAACAATTTGGCATGTTTATGGAAAAATAAATACTGAAAAAATTCCCGCCTTTCTCTCTGCCGGGAATCGAGGGCTTATGGGTTAGAATGTCCGGCTGATGCCAAATCGATTGGATTTCTGTCCCACCCTAGAGCGAGTGGATGTTTAGCCACACTGATGAGCAGTGATACATGTGGATGACTCCCTCTCTCTCTCTCTCTCTCTCTATCTATCTATCTATCTATCTATCTATCTATCTATCTGTATATATATATATATATATATATATATATATATATATATAGTGATTTTCCAAGCGTAGAGCAGATTTGGCACAAGCCCGAAAGTATGGGGCACACAGTGAGGATCGAACTCACTACTCAGTTGTAATTTTTCTAGCAACACACACACACACACACACACACACACATATATATATATATATATATATATATATATATATATATATATATATGTATGTATATATATATATATATGTGTGTGTATATATATATATATATATATACTCTTCTTTTTATGCTTTCATTTATCACTTATACTAGGCTACGTTTTAATGGTTATACTGCCATCACGCATATTCTGCTAATCAAACTGTCACTTTATCACTTGACTTAAACTGACTTTGCTTTTTCTAATCTGACGTTTAACGTTTTTTGCTCATAAGTTCTATCATATTTTGTTAAAGTTTTCCCGCTACTTTTGGCTAATTCTTGTCTTACTAAATCATTCAGAAGTTAAGGTTCACTGCTTTGTAGATCTTGCGTGTGATCGTCTCTTGTCGGTTAAAAAGCAGCCATTTTATCTTTGTTCAATCTCAGCAAAGGTGGTTAATGAATAGCGCAAAGGATGAACCTTTCTTAGTTCGTTTGTCTATTGGATCTCTATACAAAGAGCAGTTCTTTAATATTTTTTTTCTTTTCAGGTTGTCTCGGAAAAAAAAAACTTCCGCTGGCGTTGTTTCTGTTATTTATTTAGTTTTGTGAGTCTTGACACACGAACGACAACTTTGTCCAGGAGAGTTGAACAAAAATAGAGCAGACTACACTCAGTTTTGTTTTCTTTTCTGAACCCACTCGTGCGCCTAACTTCACACGCATGCTCCGTCATTACGAGAAACAAGACAAACTCGAATCGCAAATCAAGTTGACTTTATCATCACACAATGGAACGTTCTCTACTGACTTTCATGATTTTAATTTTAAAGACAATCACTCAACAGAATGTAGGAAATAAATACTTAAAGATCTTCCACTTTTAAGGAACGTGTCACTTCATGACATGGGCGGTCATAGCTCTCCCCAATTTCTCATTGCATCCCATGGAATTTCAGTTGTCTCTTTCTGACAATACGTTTTGGAAATCATTCAATATAGTTGACCTAGCATTGAATACAGTTGCAATATATGACCCGGAAGCCTTGATGTTCATATCGATGCCCTCGACATAATCCAGAGACAGACATGCAATGTTATAGGCTCTGATCTGTCATCTCGTTTACAGTCACTTTCTCACAGACGTGTTGCGGCTTCCCTCTCTCTTTTCTACAAATATTTTCATTGCAACTGCTCTGACGAGCTATTTTCACCAGTACACCAACTGCATGAATTTCAGCGTGCAACTAGATTGGCATCTCGGTCCCACCCTTCCATTGTCGAAACAGTTGAATGTAATAGCCTCTTCTGCTCCAATAGCTTATTCTTTCACACTTCCCGACAGTAGAACTCCCTTCCTCTTACTTGCTTCTCTGATAGCTATAATCATCAAATATTCAAATGTAATATCAATCGACATCTGATGATGATCTTTATATGCTTTCCTTAAACAATCCTCTCTGCTCTTCCACTTACTCCCTGTAACACTTTACGTGCTACTGGCACTCCCTCCTGGCTTGGATGAAATTCTTAAAAAAATATAATGAACTGAACTGAAATTAGAGCACGGCTCTCCAATTAAAAATTGCAAGACATTATCCATTACATCAGATTATAGCACCCCAGTCAGTTATATGCCATGTATGATACACGCTTAGGTGATCATGTATCTTTCGATACATGACTGATGAGGCAGATTTTTTTCTCGCAGTAGGTTGCCATTTCTTTCTGCGGTAGTCTAGTTGCTATCCAAGGCTTGCTTCCCTTATAAATATAACCTTCAAATATCCAAATGTAATGTCAATAGACATCTTCTGATTTCTTGATCCTAATCCCCGTTCTTCTCTATATCCTTTCTTAAAACACCTCTCTTTGCTCTTACTCTCTGCGTGCTAGTGGCACTCCCGCCTTGCATGGAGTGAAATGATTGAAAAAATATATTTAATTGCAATTTTCGCATTCTAAAATTATAGTTTAAACACATTGAAAAAAGAAGAAGGTGACAGTTGAAATGAATACAATGAAGATATAGGTTAATCTGACGTCTTTTTTATTTTTCCATATGCTATGGGACCTTACCCATTATAACATAATGGACTATTCCATACGTAATAAATACTGCGCCTCAAGAGGAAGCAGGGAACTCAGTCTGAAGTCTGGAGTGAGGTCCGTCAGGAGTCTGTCCGTCCGTCAGAGCGAGCGAGTCAGTTAGTCGAGTCAGAGGCAGTCCGAAACAGAGTCACGTTCAGACAATTACTACAAGACATTGGAATAGTGATACTGGTCGGGACTACATTGTTCTCCCTACTAAACCTGATTCTTTGTACTAACACTTTCTACTTCTCTGTGTATATTCCTGTTTGTAATATATCTGTGTTATTCCATACCTGTGTTCGAGTTCTTCTTTATTGGCTCTCCCTTGCACTATCACCGTGGTACAAGGATCTGGACCATAACACCATATCCTGTGACAATTTCGCTTAAAGTTTGTATTGACTTAATTTCAGGTGTAAAAATTGGAAATATTTCAATATATTTAAGTGAAGTTTTCCCTTTAACATTTATACGTACTTTAGTCATATGGAAACAGAAAGCACTATTTTAAATTCACGGTAGAAGGAGACGGATAAAAAGTGGCATCGTTTTTCTTTTGCATATATTGTGACCATATTGCTTAAAGTTATAATTGTATCTCAGATGAATTTTAATTATTTTTTTTCATATAAATGTATACTTTATAATCATTCATTTGCTATAAGATTGGTTGTCGATCTCAGCTTTGTCTAAAATCGAATTTCCCCCAAACTGACCTGGAGAAGAGAAGCCTATCTCCAGATCAATTGTTGATGTTCTGAGGATATTTGCGGAGAGTTAATTATGCCTTAGATAAAAGCAGTGAAAGCCAGGCTGTGGCATTGGACATCTAGAAAGATTTTGATCTTGACTGGCATTCAGGTCTTCGTCACAATCTGAAAAGTTACTGTGTCTCCGTCACTTTTTTGAATTGATCCAATCATTCCTATCTCTTATGGTCCGGTTCCTTGTACCACGGTGATAGTCCAAGGTAGAACCAATAAAGAAGAACTCGAACACGGATATGGAATAACACAGATATATTACAAACAGGAATATATACAGAGAAGTAGAAAGTGTTAGTACGAACAATCAGGTTTAGTAGTAATTGTCTGAACGCGACTCTGTTTCGGACTGCCTCTGACTCGACTGACTGACTCGCTCGCTCTGACTGACTGACAGACTCCTGACGGACTTCACTCCAGACTTCAGACTGAGCTCCCTGCTTCCTCTTGAGGCGCAGTATTCATTACGTATGGAATAGTTCATTATGTTATTATGGGTAAGGTCCCATAACACTATCGAATCGTGAAATGAAAGTTATCCTGAAAGGTAAATCGTCTAGATCCTTTCCTACTAACGCAAGTGACCGCCCCCCACTAGCTCCATCCTTGGACCTACTCTATTTTTTAATTTTCATTAATGACCTTCCTAATGACATCATCTTTCAACTTGCTACCTACGTTGTCAACATAACATTTTACTACTGCATCGATAGTAAGGCTTATCAGTCTGACAAAGTCAAAATAGAAGGCGATGCCCAAAACGACATCAAGTCCTGAGTTAACTTGGGAAAAATATGGTTTGTCATTTTTAACGCTTCCAACATTAAACTTCTCTTCATTAATCACTAGAGAGACCCCTTGCTACCTTCCATCAGCACGGCTAATGCTAACCTCTAGAAAAGCGACACGTTTCGCCTTCCCGGTCTCACGTTCGCTGCTGATATGTAGTGGAAAGATTTTATTGCATCCATTGTTATGTCATAAAATCGGTTCATTATATCGGGCCAGACAATTTTTCTTTCCAGAATCTCTCTCTCTCTATATATATATATATAGTGCTGTTCGATAAAAATTGACTCACCTTATCCTTTGAATTTAGCTCAACTTTCGTTTCATCGGAGAAGAGAACATTCTTACAGTATTCTACGGTGAAATATTTGTAATAGTGAGCCCATTCAAGTCTCTTGGCTTTGTTGGCTTTGCTTATTAGCGGCTTAAACCTTCGTGTACAAGATTTGTAGCCTTGTTCTAGCAAGATTTGCAACCTTGTTCTGAGGGACTGTTGAAGAGGCAAGACTAACACTTTGCTCTTCGCTTAGACTGGCTGCAATATCTTGGCTAGTTATAGTCCTATTCTTCGCAACTTCTCTCTTGATTACCCTGCCAGTTCTATCATCAATCATTTTCTTTCGGCCCCTAGATTCCTTCCTTGGAGCAGAAGTGGCATCATTATGTGCCCGAAGCACTCGAAAGACAGTTGATTATGAGGTTATAGCAATTTCTCTCGTAAACTTGCCAGCATTTTAGAGGGCAATAATAGATGCCTTAAGTGGTTCTGATGCGTGTTTGTACCCTTTCATCGGGTTAGTCACTTGAGTAGCTATTTCAAGCTGATTTTATACTGCATGAGGCTTTCTGGAATATCCTGGAATATTCTAGATTTAATTTAAGCTGTTCTAGTATTCTCTAGAATAATGTTCTGAGTGTATTGTAAAATAGTTTTCAATATTTTGTCAAAAGCTCTTTAAATTTACCAGTTTACTCATTAGAATGCGATATCTGAATCACTTTTTTTGCACAGAGTTTTTTCCTGAATTTCATTTATATCCAAATTTATAATAATCAATAGAATACCTTAGTGTGAATAAACTTTTTTCTTAGGTGGTCGAGAAGGGGTTTTTATATTAGTAAGATTAAAAATTATTTTAACCCCCAAAACAATAGACAAAAATATTTTTAGTAAAAAAAATCAGTTGAGTTGCTTTTATCGAACAGCACTGTATATGTGAAAAGTGTGTGTATATAAATATAAATATATATATATATATATATATATATGTGTGTGTGTGTGTGTGTGTGTGTGTGCGTGCGCGCGCGTGCGTGTGTGTGTATGTGTGTGTAATATATTATATAGATTATTAGTATTTACATATTATATGCGCGGTACTTGTTGGAAAGCGCTCAATATCAGAGATAGTTTAACATATTTAGTTGGATTGATTTGAGTTTGTGACCCTGGGTTTCACGCTTTAGCGATCGTCAGAAAAAAGCGTGAAACCCAGGGCCACAAACTCACATCAATCCAACCAAATATCTTAGATATCTATAAGTCTATCATTAGAATATGGCTGCCACACATGTTCCTGCTATTTTCCTTGATAAGATCCAAAGAAGAATCTGCAATATTATTGGTCCTGATCTGCCGGCTCAGCTCAACTCACTTTTACACCATCGTAAGGTTTCCTCACTTTGTCTTTTCTATAAATATTTTCATAGTAATTCTTCGAATGTGCTTTTCACTATGGTGTGTATTTTTTTTAAATTTAAGCGCAGCACTAGACTAGCTTCGAGATTTTATCAATTTACAGCTGAGCTGGCTAGATGTTACCGTAAGTTCTATGCTAACAGTTTCTTCTCTCGCACTACTTACTTGTGGAACTCCCTTCCGGCTCTATGGTTTCCAGCTAATTTTAATCTGTAAAAATTTAAATGCAATGTCAATCTTTATTTACTGTCAACCTGATTACTTT